TAAGGGATTATAGGGTATTTGGGTGGTTGTCAAAATTATGGTCCCTTTTTGGGTACCCGAAATATTAGGTGCCGTATTATAATAGGGATCCAAAAAGGGACCATAATTTTGACAACCACCCATATGGTCCTCGCATTTTCCCCCGGGCAGATTGCATTTTGCGATTCCATGCGCCTTCATCCCAACGCACAACCCAAACTTGCTGGCTCTGGGTAGGGAATGAGGGAGTATAATCCANNCCCTAATTCCCTGCTAGAACCAGTAAGCAAATCAAATGCCACATCCATGCAATGCAGGCATCCCCTCTGAACAAGACGACTTGACTACCCCGAAAACAAGTGGCCCTTAACGCAAATTGCATCCCGTTGGTAGAAAGCTTCGGCCAATGTTGTTTCGAAGGTTACGAACACATTTCCTTCACCCTGAAACCTAAGGGTCCATGTGGGTAAAGAGGGATTCCCGGTTCAGTACTTCAGAGCCCAAGTGTATTACACGCACACGGACCCATGGAACCCCAAGGTGGCTCAGTATTGGAAATGGAACCAAATGATTGCTACTCGCAAACCCAATAAGGAATAATACGCCAGACTGCTTAAAACACCCAAACTCAAAACGGTAGCTGAGTTCGTTTAAATTCCGTCATTCCCTGCGCACTGACAACCAAAACGGAATCAGACATATCCTGCAGTAAACCACAAGACGGGAATTTTAGTTACCCAACACCTATAATAAGGAATCGAAAAGCCGAAGATTAATCCCCATGTAACTGCCACATAGCCCCAGATTCCGTTTCACATTTTCCAGTTTTGCCATGAAATCCTCCATTGTTTCCTAACCCCTGTAGACCACTGTATATCTCTATAACCCATTTAAGGGACCTATGTGTCCATTTTGTTTTCCATGCTATTCTCCATGTGGCTCTCCAATGTTCTCCAGTATGGCAGCGTATATTCCTACATAACCCCATAGAAACTTTATCAAAACTCTGTATACATCCCTATAAAGCTCCTTACTTAAACCAAGCATATAGAAACCGTATAAAAGCTCTCTATACATCCCTATAAAGCCCCTTACTTAAGCCCAAGCATAATCAGGCCCGCGCTTTGCCAGCATGAAAAAAAGTGCGGCCGAACCTCGAGATGAGAGAAACATGGGGGAGGTTTAGGGTTTCAGGGTTTAGGGTTAAGGGTTTAAGGGTTTGGGGTTAAGGGTTTAGGGTTAAGGGTTTAGGGGGTTTGGGGTTAAGGGTTTAAGGGTTTGGGGTTAAGGGCTCCATGGGGGTAATTTCTTCAGTTTTGTTTTGCTGTCGGACCTGTTCTCAATGCTACTTAAGCACGGTCCAAAAGCCAGCCCCTGAGATTGAGATTACTTCAGATTAGTTGGGTTTTCGGCTTTAGGGTGGAGATGGGTTAAGGGTTCAGGGTTGAAGCGGACTTTCTGCTGATTGTGGGCCAGTCGGAGAGTGAATCACTGTCACTGTACTAATCCCTATATCATTCTACTAATCCCTATATAGTCCCCTATCATGGCCCGGATATCCAGTGCGCCACCCCCAGAAGCACCACTAAGCAAACTGCTGATGAGCAGAAAACTGATTTTTTTGCCCTAAACCCCAAATCCCAGACCCTAATCCCTAAACAATCAGACTCGGGTCTCCAGAGTCTTCGATTTGCGTGAGCTGGCTGGGGCTCATAGTGAAGGATATCTAGGACCAAGTTCATGCCCAAAGTGCAAGGCAGTTGCACTACTAAGCTGGCCAAGATGCGCGGTAGAAGTGATGCATAAAGATCTATTTCGGATTTCAGAGCTAAGCCGTAAATCCTAAATACACGTGTGGGATTCATTGACACGAATGCATCCTATAGGTCCAGGCGACATGTTTGGAGTAGTCAAGATTAACGTGTTTGATGTGAGGTGCGCGGTGAGGAGTGATGCATTGCTTTGGTGTATCTTATATACAAATAAGCTTATGCCTAAAATACAGAAGCACTGCCAGTTTCAGGCGCATATCTTAAAGACAACAAAAGCATGCCGCATTGCCTGCCTGGGCTATCTTTACACGAGGCGCTATGGGACCTTCCAGGAATCGCATGCAAAAGCATCCGACAAGACAATTTTGTTCATTCGGTCTCCGCTCAGTTTGCATGGCTTAGATCACCAGAACTGCTGCTCGGGTTTGTCTTTGATCAAGATTCTGCCTTTTTTCTGAAGCCGTGCCTTAGATCTGAAGACACAACAGAAGCAGAAGCCGACATTCAACGGATCATCTTCATAGCATGTAAGGGGGAAGTGGGGGATTGGATCCCCATATTAATCCCACAGAAATGCCAAGAATAATGCCTTGATTCCCTCCTTCGCTCTACCTTTAGCACAAGGCACCCAACCAAAAGCCCTCAACCCCTTTGTAAGCTTCCAAAATTGCATTCACTCCCGCACTCGCCCTTGAGCGCATGAGTCGCTCCTCTTACTGCATGCTGTGCATCCCCCCTCTCACCTGCGAATCCATGATGTCGGAGTGTAGGGAAACCCCGAACCCTAAGTTCAGCCCTTGCATTCTACGCTTAAGATACCCAAGTATACCGTAACCAGATGGACATTTAGAATAAGGTGTAGCGTGCAAAGCCCGGAGACACAGAACCCTAAGCCCCTAAACCCTAAATCCTAAAGAGTGTTTCAACCCTACACACCTAAAACCATAAACCTTGAAGTCCTAAAACCCCAATCTTTGTATCCCCAACCGTAATCCCTCAGCCCTATAAACCCTAAACCTTTCATCTGCAATCTGAATCTGAGCCTAAATCCATGCAAACCCTAAACCGAAATCTCCAAACCCGAAACCCCTAAACCCAAAAACCCAAACTCCTCACCCCTAAAACCCTAACCCCCAAAGCGCTAAAGCACCACAACCCAAAACCACAAACCCTAAACCCTAAAACCCTAAGCCCAGAAGCTCACTGCAAGGACCAGAGTCAGGCAAATCAGGTACCGGAGCGTCTGATCTCCATTCTGCCGAGAGGATGGTGGAATGGGTTATATATATATATGGTATTGAAGGTTTAGGGCTTAGGGTTCAGGGTTTAGGGTATGGATTTTAAAGGATTTGGAGGGTCTAGGGTTTACGATTTAGGGATTGAAGCTTCAGAGGTTGAAGCAGTGCCGTCTACATCTACGGAAACTGCTGGTACCTCTTCTAAATGCTAAACCCTAAAACCCTAGATCACACCCCACCTCGCCCTTCTCACATGCTTGATCTTACTTCTTAGAGGCATTGTGGCTTAACATCTGTGCTGCCATAGCATCTCTCACATCGAACACTGTGGCACTGTGGCACTACCAAGGTTCAGCAGCGGATGGACTTCATCGGCTTAAGGCAAGCAACCTGGACAAGGTTTCTAGCGGGCCTTGCACCGTCTTGCGAAAACATCACTAAAGCTTACCTAAAGGCAAAGCCAGGCAGACACCGTAAACCCGATAAACCCTTAATCCTTGAAAGCCAAAATGCTAACCCCCTAGCCTATGGCCCTGAACCCTAAACGCCAAACTCTAAAGCCCTAAACCCTCAAAACCTTTATGCCCCTATAGCCCCTTAAAAGATGCCTGTCACATCCCCACCAAAAACCTACCCACATCCACACCGATGCATACTTCAGGGTGGTTATGACTTAGCCAGAACTGATACGTCTAACCAAGTCAGAACCAATTTAAATTTCCTAAGGTGCGTGCAATTGGGTTATGGGTGTCA